AATGCTACGGAGCCGAAAACAGCCTCTGAAGTTCGGAGTTTTATTGGTCTGGTAAATTTCTGTAGTCTGTTCATTCCAGATTTAGCTATAACGGCTGAACCCCTGCGGAAGTTAACCAGGACAACTACACCTTTTGTTTGTGGAAATGAACAGAATAAGGTGTTTCAAGAGCTTAAGAATACGATGTCTACCGCTGATTCATTGGCTTTTTTTGATAAAGATGCAGAAACGTCGATAATTTCAGATGCTATTCCTGTTGGTCTTGGTGCAGTGCTTGTGCAAAAGCAACAAAATGTAATGAAGGTTGTGGCATATGCTAGTAGATTTCTTTCTGACATGGAAAGGCGGTATTCTCAGACGCAGAAAGAAGCATTAAGTATAGTATGGGCTTGTGAGCGTTTTCATGTGTATTTGTTCGAGATTCACTTTGAGGTTTTGACAGACCATAAACCATTAGAAGTGATTTATTCCAAAACCCATAGGCCCTCTGCACGAGTCGAAACGTGGGTTCTGAGATTGCAGAATTATGATTTTACTGTTAAGTATCTTCCGGGTCCAGAAAACATCGCGGACACGTTGTCTCGGAAACAGTTGTTGAAGAAATCGAGTCCAGCGGTCGTGACTGTGAAGTTTCGCGTCAAAACGGATAGCTATCGCCTAAACCAAGAAGGCAGTGTTGGCCTCCTAAACGTTTTGGTGATTATTTACTATATAAGTAATTCGTAGTACTTTATGATACCTTATAGTACTATATATATATATATATATATTGAAGTTTTAGAAACAGTAGAATTAAGCGAACATTATCATGTATACAAAGTGCGAAACCTATGGAAAAATCATTTAAAATCTGTTTCTAAAAAGTGTTTGCAATATTTCTTCCATAGCATGTTACTAGCCCTATTGGTGCCACTGGGTTATATGTAAATGTTAAATATGATACTGATTTAATGAATATTTAAACAGTAAACATATACTCTATAGATATGTAATATATAATCTAGTACAATGTAATTAAAAAAAACAACTTATCTCCAATATTAAACATCACAACGAGTAAATCCTCTTGGCATAAATTTTAAGTTCCAAAAACAACAATGGTATGTGCAGTTGCAAGCAAACTGCGTGTTTGCACCGACTATAACCATCATGTGAATGATTGTACAGTATATAAAACAAAATATTTACGAAGGAAATAAGAAATTTATGTAATGTGATTTTATAAATAGACTATTAAGGCAAGGTGTTCCCCCAAGGGGATACGCCTTGCCGACGATAATTAAAATCTTATATTATGGGCTTTGCGTCCTATCTAAAAGACCGACAGGTAATGGATGGCACGCAATATGGGAAAGGTGGTCAATGGCCAGCAGCAAATCGAAAACTAACAAAGACCGAATACCCAAACCATAAACGGTCAGTTTAAGCGTGACATCGCGAAAGACAGATCTCCTTTAAAGTTGAAAGGTATTTACAGAAGTGTTCTACTTGTTTTTCTATCTATTTATATATTGATATACATATATAGATAGTAGCTACGAATACACAATGGTACCCCAAAAGTTTTGGTCCTGGGACACGCATTTGTTCGTCGCCTACAGTGCGACCTGAAACATAAACGGGATATTCGCATGTGCCCAACCTTTAAACTCAAGGGCACAGCGAGAGTTTCTCTACACGGTATAGGGGTAGAACAGTGAAGAAGATTCGCAAATTTGATTTAGGCGTAGTTTCTCGGTGTGCCCCAGATATTGTTATTCTGGAGATAGGCACGAACGATTTGTCCTCCTTAAGGCCCGAAACAGTCGGGTCACGCATTGACGACTTGGTTGCTTTATTGCTGGATCAATATCACGTAAAATTGGTATGCGCATGCATGATTTCCCCGCGAAAGAACAACCCTCTTTTTGAAAAGCAGCGTTTAATGCTGAACAATTATCTACAGGTAGTTTTAGAGAAGGTCCCGAGAGTGTTTTTATGGACACACCATGGCTTTATACGACCTTCCGTGACGCCATTTCTACCTGACGGGGTCCTTTTTAATCGAATCGGGCAATATAAATTATACCGAAGTTATCGGGGGGCCATTCTTCAAGCAATTAAAATGTTATAAAATTCTTTATATAACAAGCTGTCGTACATTACATTTATTTTTATAATATAACCTTGACATTTGACAAACTTTACTCGTAACGTGTTCCAAAGAATTTTGAACATTTCCAAACTTGTAATTTTCCGCATATATTAGCGAAATTAACAAAATTCTGCGGATTTTTAATTCTTTTTTTAAAAAATAGCTTTTTTGGCGGACACAATTCCACTGTCCGCATAAAAAGGATTTTTGTCTTTGATGTATAAGGATTCCACTGTCCGTCGGTTTCAAGTTTGAGAGACATATAGGGGTGTCCGAATTTCGGAACCCCTGTATCTCAATTCGAGAGACATATAGGGGTGTCCGAATTTCGGAAACCCGTATATCTCAATGTGAGAGACATATAGGGGTGTCCGAATTTCGGAAACCCTTATATCTCAATGCGAGAGACATATAGGGGTGTCCGAATTTCGGAAACCCCTGTATCTCAATGTGAGAGACATATAAGGGTGTCCGAATTTCGGAAACCCCTATATCTCAATTCGAGAGACATATAGGGGTGTCCGAATTTCGGAAACCCGTATATCTCAATGTGAGAGACATATAAGGGTGTCCGAATTTCGGAAACCCCTATATCTCAATTCGAGGACATATAGGGGTGTCCGAATTTCGGAAACCCGTATATCTCAATGTGAGAGACATATAAGGGTGTCCGAATTTCGGAAACCCCTGTATCTCAATTCGAGAGACATATAAGGGTGTCCGAATTTCGGAAACCCTTATATCTCAATGTGAGAGACATATAGGGGTGTCCGAGTAACGCAGTGCACGGTATCTACAATTATTCGGGTTATATTCTCTACGCAAGTCGAATGGGCAATGGTCAAGTGAAACCAATTTAGAAGTATATTTTGTAAATAGCAAAGGAACATTCAGACAATTTAAAAAGTAAGTTGTCTTAATTAAATTTTCATTATGGTATGTTTTCCCACGTAGAGCCGGGAATACCCAGCACACAATGAAGATGTATAATAAATTATATATATATAGATTTATAGGTTCTAAAGTTCTTTCAACTTTCGCCTAGCCTCTCGTTCCTCCTCTTCTGTTTTTACCAGATTGAGGCAATTGCGCTCGATCGTGACTGCTGCAACACCGCCAGCTGCAAGAAAAAGATTTGACAAAGATGATAATTATAAAAGTTCAATACTGTACCAGGCGGGAAACGTATATTATATATACATCATTCGAACAAAAGGGTGGTTTAATATTTTATATTTATGAGGTTATACCTTCGGGTAAACTAACATCTAATATCCAGTCACCCAAGTGACTGAACATTTCTACCAGCCGCAAACATGTCTCAAATTCTCTGTTTTGCCGAATTGACACAAAAGAAGTTTGGGACCTTGCCAAACGCGAAGTTGAAGTGTTCTGGCAGAATTCGCCCAGATACCGAAGCATGGAAGACAACAAATGCTTCAACAGCCTCGTTCATGCCTGGTAATATATTCCCTACAGAGTGAAAAGGACAACGATTAACCACTAGCTACAGTATTCTGCTACATGAATTGCGTACACAGTAACATTTTCTGCATTGTTTGGACAGAAGGAGGCCAGCCGCTCTGCTTGTGTTTGTCAATATAACAGGAAATTGCGAGTGGAATTATACACACTTCAAATTCAAATTAAAGCAAAATGAGTCAACTATAGGTCCCCGGCAGGAATCGAACCTACGCTTTTACGTGCATCGAACCCCTAAATTTACGTGCATCAAGTGAAGTGCCAAAAATCACGCCTGATTGTGGATATATATACTCCACAAACTGGAACAGTCATGCAGGAACACACACCACATGGTTGGCGGTTGCCTTAAAAATTACTAACTATCATCTGTTTATTTCTATTTTTTACGCCCCTTAATTTACAAAAAACGTTTCAATAAGTTACTCATGACGTTCCCCTTTTGCCCACAAAAACCTAAATTTGTGTTTTCATCAGTGGCATTCACGCATTGCCTGTATGCATATCGCTTAAGCGCAAGGCTATAAAAGGTATTTATTAATTTATATATAGTACTTTATTGATATCAAAACAGTCTCGCCGGGACAAGGGTCTTGTATAATTAGGAGAGTGTTTATATACATTGATCACATACATCATACATTCAGCTGCATTCGAGATTAAAATTTTACTCGTATTCAATCCCTATAAATAATAATGACATGCCTACTTCGTTTTTTCTCGGGCAAACAGGGATCATACGAAGCGCCAATGAAACAAAATGAAAACGCAGCGCGAAAATGGAATTTCAGCGGTAACCAAATATAGATAACGACAGTGTCAAGCAATTTGATCACACATATGTAACTATATATTATACATATGCATGCATAGCATGCCTTTAAATAAGGCCTTCGCATATGCTATATTTTTGTTCCTACTTATAGCTTTGCTCTTAAAAAGGAGGTTTTTTTCTTTCTACCTACTATATATCCGAGAAGCCTAAAGCTAGCTAATATCAAAAAGGTTTCAAAATATCGAAACTTAATACATACCTTGAGAGGCCTATTATCCTCACTTTTCACGCCGGCAGCACTGATGATACTCGACGCCTGTCTTTGCTAGGGGCTTTCCAGCAACATATACATAAGCCTTTCCTTGCCTTACGCGAACCGACCACTTTTTCATTTGTGGCATATCTATATATAAAAACTCGCTCTCAAAACTACTGGCATTGACAATTAATTGAAGCTCAATATGTTGAATGTGGGAAGAGCGCACATGCGAAGTATATCATATGAACATTACACCTGGTCAAAGCGGTAAACTCAACCAATAACAAAGAAAAGTTTTTTCCGTTGTCGGAGAGTTAATTGATGGGAATATCCTAATCCAATCAGTGGACTATTGTAAAATAAAACAGGTTGTCAGACAACAAGGAATCACCTTCGAGCTTCGGCACAATTTACTGATATATATGTGTTGAATATGCTCAACAGCTAAACATTAATTATTGTTTATATATATTTTTGCGAGAAGTGATCAAATTTGAGCACAATGTTGTCCTCACCAGATAAAGAAGATGACGATTCCTCTGTTTTCGAAATGGGGTTTTCAAGCTCACCTGAACCAATATCACCAGCATTGTCTATATAATGTCTTTGTTATCTACGAATAAGAAAGGACCAGCGTCAGCCACCAGCAGCTCACCCGGTTTTGATATAAGATTTAGTGACAGTGAAAAATCATCTCCTCTCATACATTCAGAGGCAAAAAGTAAGAGCATCATGAATTAATAATGCCATATAATTATACATATATATATATGTTTTTAATTTGTTTTTTCCCTATCTTATGTATACAGTTTCAAACTCACTTGAAGCTTCTCCTTCATCAATCTCAACTAGTACAGATCTGCCCGAAGAATTTTCTTCACCATTTTCTGTTGGGTTAAGTAGCGACGCAAATGGACCCTTTCCTGATTCAAATTCTTCTGAACGTAAGTTCCTAATTATTACCAATCTTATATGAAACTAAGCTAAATGGAAAAGGCATTGGCGATTGCTAAAATTGGTTTCAGGTTTCAGAGCGATTTCTTAATTTGTGCTCTATTATGTGAAATAAGAATGCAAATTTTGTTATTTGATTTTAGATCTTTCGTGCAATCTTTTGCCTCACGATACGCCGTCAGCATATGTACCAAGTAGGAGCCCAAAAAAAGTCAAGAGAGCTTTACAATACGATTCAACCGATAGGAGTGGTAAGCGATAAATTTTTGTGATATTTTGCAAGTTATTTTATTATATAAACACGCGATAATAATACTTCTGGGGCCGGTTGTATGAAAGCCGGATAGCGCTATCCACCGGATAGTGATTTTTTCAATCGCTTTAAAATCGCCCGTTGTTGGGTATAACTTTGATTAACACTTAGTATTCCTAAAGTGAGGGTCCTCTTTAACCAATGTTGGCTACAAAGCTGAAATTTTATAGCTATTCAAGCATTTTTAGAAGGGTTGAAAAAATCACTATCCGGTGGATAGCGCTATCCGGCTTTCATACAACCGGCCCCTGTATCCTGAGACACCATTCTGCAAATTTTCATATACTAAGCCGACTTTGCGTGCGCGCAACGATTAAAATATTTGGTCACTGAGGATTTACAGTTACATTATTCCCGGCGCTTGTTTGTGTGTCAATCAATATGTTAGATTATAATTTTTTTCCCCAAGACCTGCAAGGCGTAAAGATTGTTAAATATATAAACCAATAAATTACAGGCTGTAAAAAAAACGCAATCACCAATATATTCATAAATATATTTAAGTGAATATTAAGAGTTTTTTTATGATTTTTGGCACTTCACTCGATGCAGGTAAATTCTAAAGGTTCAAATTAAGGGTCTTTATTTCGAGTGAAAATATACACACTTGAAATTCAAGCCACTGCAACTGCGCATTGCACCGGCATCGCGATTCCTGCCGGAGAACTATAGATCCTCCGGCAGGAATAGTCAATAGTTGACTGATTTTTCCATCAACTGTTCCTGGCTTGAATTCGAAGTTTGTATAATCCCTCGAATTAAGACCCTTTGAATCTTAGTTTTTTTATACACACTGTATAACAACATATCATGTATATACCTATCTTCAAACAACAGCATCAAATGTGGTATAACTGCCTAAAATACCACATTTGATGCTAAGTTGTTTGAAGACGCTGCCACGCTGCTCCCTGGTTATATTGGCACGCAACTTCATACAAGAATACTCATTTAATTAAATTAATTATTTTAAAGACACGTGGGGATAAATGGAACACCATACCCATGTAAATGAGAATGGATACTTTCGATTTTAGGATAAGGCGTTTTTCCATTACGGGCGAAGCGCGCTTAGATTTTTAAAGTAAAATAAAACGGGCTGTATATATCTAAGCACTGCTAATGTCAACTTGCAATTCGATGATGACATGCAGATTTTCCGCCAGTACATAGCTACAAAGCTAAAATGTGTCACCAACAACAGCTAAGATTGATTGACGTCAAACATTGAGGCGCTGGCAAACCTGCAGCGGAAAAACACGTCATATTGAACACTATATGATTAAACCCAGAACTGGGTACTTTATAAATATAATGGGTGCGGATAATTGCATGTAGTTCAGGGACACCATGATAAACATAAAATCTTTAATTCAAATCAAAATGCCAAAATTCATTAAAATGGCAAAACGGATAATTTATACGCTATCAGTCGCGCCAAACTAAACTTTTAGTAATATTTTAAAACTCTCAAAAAAATTTTCAATAGGACTAAGATATTTTCTTTGCGCATATTTCAGTAAAAAATGATTCCGAGGAATTAGCTCGAGAGAGGTACTACAAAATTATAGGGAGATACGTTATATGAGCCTTTGGACAAACCTACAACAAACACTCTATCTTACTGTTTAAGCTTACTGTAGGGTTTGATATCCAATTTTCCCTGCTTTGTCCTATGGATTTTAAAAGAAAATTCAATTTCAGAATACTGGCAAGCAATATGCTATTCAAAAGTGTAACATGAATTTTGTTCTCCTTAGATTTACGCTGCATGGGCCATATCAACCACCTGCTGCCAGAGGAATCCGACATGATGACAACTATCTTCAGTCGCTTTGTCCTGGCGTGTTGGTTGCAGTGTATATTAGTAATTACAAAAAAAGACCGGTTATTGGTAATGTTTGTGAAGTTTTGAATTCAAGTTGCATTACTGGAAAGGTACATATACCGCGACCTGGCAACCCGTTATGGTTACGAGCAAAGATGGTGAAATACCTTGGACAGACACTCTTCCAAAAGATTCAGTAATTCTCTGCTCGTTCTAACTTGACGATAACAACCATCTCCAAGAAAATACCAGAAAATATTTAAAACGGTGGTATCGGGAGGAAGCTAAAAGGGCTATAAGGGTCTGGATTAATTTAAAAAAAAATATTTTCTACGCTTGTACCTATAATTATACAGACGCAAGATCCTAAATTTTTAAGTGCAGAAGCATTGGAGAATATTACTCTCAATATCATTATCGCATGCTAACTAAAATGTATGCCAACATTCAAATGACTCATTTATCTTCAGGAATTATCACTGATATGAATAATAAACACTACCTAAGTATGGACTGCATTGTTAAGTGTTTTGAGTTTTTATAATAACCCATTAACCCATTGTAGATACAGTGCACTACGTTACTCGAACACCCCTATATGTCTAGATCTCTCACATTGAGATATAGCTAGTGGTTTCCGAAATTCGGACACCCTTATATGTCTCTCACATTGAGATATAGGGGTTTCCGAAATTCGGACACCCTTATATGTCTCTCACATAGAGATATAGGGGTTTCCGAAATTCGGACACCCTTATATGTCTCTCACATTGAGATATAGGGGTTTCCGAAATTCGGACACCCTTATATGTCTCTCACATTGAGATATAGGGGTTTCCGAAATTCGGACACCCTTATATGTCTCTCGCATTGAGATATAGGGGTTTCCGAAATTCGGACACCCTTATATGTCTCTCACATAGAGATATAGGGGTTTCCGAAATTCGGACACCCTTATATGTCTCTCGCATTGAGATATAGGGGTTTCCGAAATTCGGACACCCTTATATGTCTCTCGCATTGAGATATAAGGGTTTCCGAAATTCGGACACCCTTATATGTCTCTCGCATTGAGATACAGGGTTTCCGAATTTCGGACACCCTTATATGTCTCTCACATTGAGATATAGGGGTTTCCGAAATTCGGACACCCTTGTGTATTTGTAAAAATTCTACTGATAAGTATGTTTTTGGTAAGTATTAACTTTTCCTCAGATTTTCTCGCTTTTTATTGATTTTGGAGCCATAGTTGGTTCACTCCGCTAGTATTTTCGAAAAACAGTAAAAACGAGGCCATATTTTTCTTACTCCGCGAGAAATAGGCTTTTTCACCAACGAAATTTTAACATATAACCGCAAGAAAATGACTTTTATAATGAAACTCACAGTGCTTTCCGCTGGATTTAGCAATTTAAAGATATTTTTGCGGAAAAAAATCAAAATTCCGCAGAATTTAGCAAAATTTGGCTAATTTTGGCGGAATTTTAAAGTTTGGAAAATGACAAATTTCATTGGAAGGCGTTTCGTGATTACTTCTTAAATACCGCTTTAGCGCCTTTATCTATTATATCTTTATCTTTTATCTATATGAGAGTTCTCACACTGTTTGTGAGTTTTGTTGGCCATATGATGAACGGTGCGGCGATCTTCTGATCTGCCATGTTCATCCTGCTGACGTTTGATTTTGTCTTTATCTCTCATCTATATGAGAGGTCTCACACTTTTTGTGAGTTTTTTGTTGGCCATAGGGTGAATGGTGCGGCGATCTTCGGATCTGCCATGTTCATCCTGCTGACGTTTGATTTTGTCTTTATCTCTCATCTGTATGAGAGTTCTCACACTTTTTGTGAGTTTTGTTGGCCACAGGGTGAACGGTGCGGCGATCTTCGGATCTGCCATGTTCATCCTGCTGACGTTTGATTTTCTAATCATTCTTTCACAAGTTCCGATTTTCAATTACGACAAATAACGGACGAATCCTCACTATTGAATGTTCGCCATTACTGGGGATAGTTTTATTTCTCGCACAACGAAAAAATTTGGGTGCGGTTGCTTTACTATCTAAAAACTCATTACGCCATAAGTATCTATTTCTGCTTTTAAAGTTTTATTTCTTAGAATGCCACCCGTACGTCATTCTAAGCGTGTCGCCGCTCCATCAGCCGTTTTTGCGAGAGTCTGTTCAGAAACCAACACAAACAACATCTCGTCGAACTCGAAGTTCGTCCAATGCTGTATCTGTTGGTGCCGCCCCGTCAACGTCAACTGTGCCCGTGAGTCAAGTGACTTTGCCCTCTCTTTCGAGTGAGCTTATCTCAACGCTGGTGTCTTCGGTTACCGAGGCAGTCACGCAAAAGCTAGCTGGTTTCTTACCAACCTCTGCGTCTCCACATCCACAATGGCGTCTGCCCCAACGGATTCTACCTCCGGTATCGAAATCTCAAACCAGGGTCCCAATGCAGATTCTCTGGTCAACGACGCGCTCACGTCCATACAAGAAAACCTTACAGGTCAGACCACTCCTTTTTCTCTTCAATGTTCAAGTGCCCCGGGTCCACGGGAATCGTTCCACTCTGCCGCTTTGCCTCTTGATTCGCGGATTCCGGATAAAATAAAGCTTAAAATTTGGACTGAGGAGTTTGTCGATATAAGTACTTTGTCAGGTGGCCCAGACGCGGCCGCTAAATACGAGATTAGTGTACGTACCTCTGACAACGGTCAACCTGCTTCTCTTCTCCTTGAGCCGACTGCGAAATCCAAAAGGGTCAAAACTATTAGCGATTGGCTTCGTTCGTTTCATATTTTTGTTTCCATTTATACACAACGGTACCCCCATGAGTCCCCCGCGCTCATGAAATATTGTCAAATCATCCAGGATTTGGCCAATAGGGGTCATAATTGGTTTTACTACGATGAGAATTTTCGATTTTTGCGCCAAACACAGGCCACGCGCGTTCCCTGGGCGACTGTTCACTGGGAGTTATGGTTGAAATGTCAATATCCCACTACTTTTAAGCCGAACACGCAAGGCAGCAATCATACGCGCCACCCTTCAAAAGTGTCTGTTCCTCGGGGATATTGTTTTAAGTTTCATCGCGGAACGTTTTGTGCCGGTTGTGATTTCAAGCACATTTGTTTTAAATGCAACGGATCGCACCGTATCGTGAATTGTAATTTTCATCTCCCACTGATCGATCGCCTAGGCCTATTTCAACAACGTCCGTTGCCAACACCCGTAAAACTTCATAATTTACAAATATTGTTAGAAGGTTATAATCCAAGTATTGTTGATACACTAATTTCCGGATTTACTTCGGGTTTTCGCATTCATTTCTCTGGCACAGAACAGTCGTTTGAAGCAATAAATTTACGGTCTGCTCTTGACAAACCAGAAGCGGTTGACCAAAAATTAACGAAAGAGTTAGAGGCATCTCGCCTTGCTGGGCCATTTAATTATCCGCCCTTTCCAAATTTTCGTGTTTCGCCTTTGGGCCTGGTTCCTAAAAAACAACCGGGTGATTTTCGCATGATTCATCATTTATCGTTTCCAAAGGGAGCATCGGTTAATGATGGTATATCCGATTTCGAAACATCTGTGCGGTACGCTATCGTTGACGACGCTATTCAACTTATTAAAAAAGCGGGCCGGGGTTGTTTCCTGGCGAAAACAGATATAAAAAATGCTTTTCGAATCATTCCTATCAGCCCAGCGGATTATCACCTCTTTGGCATAAAATGGCGGAGTTTGTATTATTACGACCGGGCAATGCCAATGGGTTGCTCCAGTTCGTGTCGCACTTTTGAGATTTTTAGTACGGCTATCGAATGGATCGCTAGGAAAAGGCTTAACATCGGCAAACTCCTTCATTTGCTCGACGACTTCCTGTTTGTTGCACCGGATTATTCTGCTTGTAAAACAAACTTACAAGTATTCATTGCTCTTTGTGATTTCATTGGCGTGCCTATAGCACCGGGAAAAACCATGGGTCCCTCAACAACCTTAACGTTCGCTGGGATTGAATTAGATACAATACAATTCCAGGCCCGATTGCCGATGGATAAAATCGAGAAATGTGTTCATTCTATCGCACGCTTTTTAATTCGTAAAAAGGTTACACTCAAAGAACTTCAGTCCTTAATTGGATTACTTAATTTCGCATGTTCCGTCATTATGCCAGGTCGCGCATTCCTGCGACGCTTAATTGATCTAACGCATGGCATTTCACACCCTCATTTCTTTATTCGCTTAACGCAAAGTGTGAAACATGATCTTCGTGTCTGGCAAACGGTTCTGTCGAATTTAACGGCAAATCATTCTTTTTGCACAACCATTGGCGTAATAACTCCCATTTGAATTTATATACTGACGCTTCGGGTAGTATTGGTTTTGGGGCCCTGTTTGGTTGCGACTGGTGCTATGGCGCATGGCCAACTGACTGGCGGAGTTACAATATTGCCGTTCTAGAGCTATATCCGATTGTCCTCAGCCTGTGTTTATGGGGATCAAAAATGCGCAATCATTGTATTTTGTTTCTCACGGATAATGAAGCTTTGGTGTCTGTTATTAATAAGCAAACATCAAAGGATTCTTATATCATGACACTCGTTCGCCGGATGGTTTTAGTTTGTTTAGAATACAATATTTTATTCAAAGCAAAGCATATACCGGGTAAACAAAATGTCCTAGCTGATTGTTTGTCTCGTTTACAGCTCCAAAAATTTTCACAATTGGCGCCGGCCGACATGCATCGAGCTCCAACGCCTATTCCCTTTCACCTGCTGCCGGAAAATTGGCGACTATAGTTTCTCAATTAGCTCAAAGTAGCTTGCAACCTTCTTCAGTGCCGACTTATAAACGGGCATGGGCACTTTTTACGCAATTTCATGTGGCAATTTTTAATGAGGGATCGTTCACTTTGCCTTTGTCGCCCTCAGTCGTTGCGTTATTCATAGCGTACTTATTTGACCTCAAGTACGCCTCTTCAACAGTTAACACTTATGTATCTGCACTTGGTTATACTCATCGCATGTCCGATCTACCGGATCCAACGAGAGTTTTCTACGTAACGCAAATCTTAAAGGGGTATGGTAAGAAAGGCTTCCGCTTAGATAGTAGGTTGCCTATAACTTTACCAATTCTCAATCGTCTTATTGAGGCTGCGCCTCATATTGCTGGGTCACCGTACCAAATATGTCAATTCCGGGCAATGTGCTCTTTAGCATTTTTCGCGTTCCTGAGAATTGGAGAAATAACTAAGAAGTCAAATAACCAACCCCTTCAATTGCGACAACTCTCCAAAATATCTCCGATGATGGCCGGGTTGCAGGCATAAGGTTGACTTTCGAGGACTTCAAGCACAATTATAACAGTAGACCTTTTAGTTTGGAAATTTACAGGCAAACGGCATGCTGTCCTGTTCGCTTATTAGAGGAGTACATGATTTTGCGAGGTACCCAGCCCGGAGCTATTTTTCTATCACAACTGGGCATTCCAGTCTCGTGTGACGAGTTTGCCAATCTTCTTAAAAAGGCTTTCCGCTTCTGTGGACTCGATACTTCCAAATATAAGTCTCATTCATTTCGAATAGGCGCCGCTTCCCACGCAGCTGAAC